GAAGGGAATAAATCCATGTACCATAGACTAGTCAACATTTTCATAATTTCTCTTATTCTTGCAACCATTTGAGGTGACGGTCCATGAGTTTAACAATCGATCTCAATAAATAGTGGTCCCATTTGGTCTAATAATGCATAGATATTTGAAGCATAATCTTCACATTATAATAGTTGGGATTTGCCAATTGGTTGCCCTGACTGTACCGACAATTTCTCAATCCTCTTACGGTTTAATCCAAGTTAAGAAGTTAAGGTGTGAACGCGACTTCATATCCGGTCAATATACGTTTTCAGATTTTTTTATTTCCAACCTATGAATTCTATTAAAAAGAAAAACAGAGGGAATGAAAGACAGAACAAGAACCATGCATATACCAAATAAATATTTCCCCTTACTTTCTGTCTTGACCATTTTAATGTTCATCCTCAAAATCTCCAATCAAACGGATACTATAACCACTACACGGATCATTAGAGATGGTGAGACCCTGGTTTCATCTGGCGGAGGCTTTGAATTGGGATTTTTTAGCCCAGAAAATTCCAATAATCGATATGTGGGCATGTGGTACAAGGAAATACAGCCTAAGACTGTGGTATGGGTTGCCAACAGAAAAATTCCACTCACAAATAAATCTGGAGTCTTGAAGGTTATCGAACCAGGACGTCTAGTTCTTCTAAACAACACTAATGGTGTCGTCGTATGGTCTTCAAATACATCACGACCCGTGAAAACTCCAGTTGCAAAATTGCTGGACACAGGAAACCTTGTCGTGAAAGATGAAAATGATGATGACCCAGGGAACTTCCTTTGGGAGAGTTTTAATTATCCAACTGATACACTGTTACCAGGTATGAAGCTCGGTCGGAACTTTATAACTGGTTTAGAGGTCTATCTATCATCGTGGAAGAGCAACGAGGATCCAATTTCAGGAGATTTTACATATCACTGTGATCCTACTGGTTATCCACAAAATATCTTGAAAAAAGGTTCAGTTGTACAGTATAGAACTGGACCTTGGAATGGTCTCAGTTTTAGCGGGACACCAAACCTAAGGAAAAATGAGATTTTCAAATTTGGATTAGTACTAAACAAAAATGAGGTGTACTATCATTATGAGCTCCTTAAGAGGTCAGTTATTACAAGGTTNTACTAAACAAAATTGAGGTGTACTATCATTATGAGCTCCTTTAGAGGTCAGTTATTACAAGGTTTACATTGCTTCCGATTGGAGTTGGCAAGCGCATGACGTGGATAGATCAAACAAATGAGTGGGCAGTTTACCTGACTGCTCCAACAGATAATTGTGGTACTTATAGATCATGTGGTGCATATGGTAGTTGCAACGTTGCAAATTCTCCTGTTTGCGGATGTTTAGATAGATTTCGCCCAAAAGATCCTGAAGGTTGGAAGAAGGCAGATTGGTCGAAGGGGTGCGTTCGCAGAAATCCATTGAATTGTCAAACTGGAGATGTATTCATCAAGTATTCTGGTATTAAATTGCCAGACACACGATATTCCCGGTATAATGGAAGCAAGAAACTCAAAGAATGCAAGGTAGAGAGCTAAAACGATTGCAATTGTACTGCTTATACTTACATAGATATAAGTAGAGNGAGTGCTTAAACAATTGCAATTGTACTGCTTATACTTACTTAGATATAAGTAGAGGAGGAAGTGGATGCTTACTTTGGTTCGGAGACTTAATTGACATCAAAGAGCTATCAGCAAATGGACAATATATCTACATTAGAATGGCTTCTTCTGAGTTAGGTAAGGATTTATTCGACAAAATGGTTAAATATTCACGACATGTCTACTATTTTCTTTAAGTATATCAAAATTATAACATTGAAGATTCTGCTACAATATAACATTTTCTTGAACTTAAAACTTCAGAAGATCTCATAATGAGCACTGACGAAAGCGACATCCTGTAGTACAGCTTTACTCTTTAAATTTGATTGATTTAATTTTGCAGCTCAGTGTCATGGCTTCACATTAGCTTCAGTCTATTCTATTAATAGTATTATTCAAAAACTGGTTTACAGATGCAGAAAGTTTCATTATAATTATGGTCTTCACTGATATTATATAATACAATAAATACAGGCCTTAGTGGAAAGCTTATCCCAAAAACATGAATCTCTTTGAATTCATAGGAAGTAGAATGTTTGCATTACTAAACGAACAGGTAGAAAATGGGATAATTTGGAACTTACTTTCCTTTATAGATGATCTGTGAGCTTGTCACTTCAAGGTTGTATCATCAATGAAAAGAAATCCTTTTTTCTTTTTTTGTTAATTGTGCAGACTCGAAACGATGGAAAAGAGAAATTCGAGTAGTAAGTTTTTCGTTGGGTATGGGAATGATTCTGCTGAGTCTGATTCTGTATATTCGTAGAAGAAAGAAGAGTAACCAAAGGCTGAGAGGAGGTATGATGGCAAAATCTANNNNAGAGGAGGTATGATGGCAAAATCTAAGAGTTTTAACTAAAAACAAGTGGAGAAACCAATCTTATCTACGCAAATGGAAACCATCTTTTGCTTTTCTCTATATTTTAGGTGGACTTGGACGCATCTTTGCAGACAATCACAATGATGAAAGCCATAAGAAAGACATAGAGCTGCCACTGTTCGACTTATATACAGTAACTAAAGCTACTGATAATTTTTCAATNTTATATACAATAACTAAAGCTACTGATTATTTTTCAATTAACAACAAGCTTGGAGAGGGTGGGCTTTGACCTGTTTACAAGGTAATACGTAGTTTTTTTTTAGCATAACAGGGCAGGCACTACTCTGGGAATTGATGCTCTCAGATTTCATTCCAATTTTATTGATGTTTAATCAACACACCACGTCAAATATTTTGCTCACAGAATAATTTGGAAATTTACTCTTATTATTCATATGAAATGAAGTCTTTAATACACATAAAGGCATCAATATTACCCTTCCTCACAAGTAAAAAGTGAGAGGAAGATAAATTATGTAAATCACTGCCGTGAAAAATTAATTTCTTTTACATGCTTGATTTCTGATATAGGGGCTGCTGGAGGAGGGGCTGGAAGTTGCTGTCAAACGGCTATCAAGAACTTCACTTCAAGGATTCGATGAGTTCAAGAATGAAGTCATTTGTATAGCTAAACTTCAGCATCGAAATCTTGTGAAGCTTCTGGGCTGTTGTATTAAAGGAGAGGAAAAGATGTTAATTTATGAATACTTGACTAATAGAAGTCTGGACTTGATTTTATTTGGTAAGAAATATTCATCTTGCACAGTTGGGAATTATCACATTCTATCCCGGGTACCAGTTATACACTGAAATAAAAGAGTTCCATAAACATTTAATCAAATCTAGAGGAAAGATTTTCTGATCAATTGTAAAATAGGGGACACGGCATTATTCTTTATTCTATGTGCTGTTTCATGCTATTGTATGCTTGAAGATACTTGGTTACAGATATTGGAATTAATTTCTCATTTCCTATTATCCAACAAAGAAATTATTCTCATGACAGTGAATTTTTATTTTATTTTATTTATTTATGTATTTTTGTTTTTTACAGATCCAGTGAAAAGTGCAGTTCTTGATTGGCCGAAGCGCTTCCACATTATTAATGGCATTGCCAGGGGCCTTATGTATCTCCATCAAGATTCACGTCTCAGAATCATCCATAGAGACCTCAAAGCCAGTAATATTTTGTTAGATTCTGACATGAACCCAAAGATATCAGATTTTGGCTTGGCTAGAAGTTTTGGAGGAAATGAGACTGGAGCTAACACCAGCCGAGTAGTTGGAACATAGTAAGAATCTCAATCCCGTGATAAACCAAATTCCCTTCTATTGGTTATAGCTGAATTTCTTGGTTAATTTATCTCGCAGTGGATACATGTCACCGGAATATGCAGCAGACGGACTTTTCTCAGTAAAATCAGATGTATTTAGCTTTGGTGTTCTAGTGCTTGAGATAGTGAGTGGCAGAAGAAACAGAGGATTTTCTCACACAGATCACCACTACAACCTTCTTGGACATGTAAGTATGGTGTGCTTTTTCTATCTAAATTGTAACGAAATTACTCCATTTAGTATTTGGGTTCCAAAATTGTCCACTTAGATGAGTTCAAGTAGCACAGGCATGGAGGCTTTATAAAGAAGGTCGGTCTTTGGAACTAGTCCAAGCATACCTTGGTGTCTCGGGCAATTTATCAGAAGTTTTGCGATTAATTCATGTGGGATTGTTATGCGTTCAACAATGTCCAGAAGATAGGCCAAACATGTCTTCAGTAGTGCTAATGTTGGGAAATGACGGTGTATTGCCCCATGCTAAAAAGCCTGGTTTTTTCACGGAAAGAGATTTGTTTACTGCTGAAAGTTCAACCAGGACAAATGCCGCAAGTTCAATAAATGAAGTGACCATTACCCTTCTAGAAGCACGATAAATATATAGGTTATATAAGTTGTCCAAAATTTGCTTGCATAACTTTTCAGCTAAAAAGTATGTCTTCTTCAGCCAGTGTACTGAATTGTATCTTTTGTATCTCTTCTGTTATATACTCTAATTCTTGTGTGTTAGTTTCACTACTTGGAGGAATATGATTCACTATCAATCATGGCCATGTTCAAGTGTACGACAATGATAAATAATACATTTTTGCATATAGAAGTGTTAATATGTGCAGGATCACAGGCCCAAATTGGTATAGGTAGTCCATGGGCCAGCCAGAGGGGGGGCTAAGGTCCATGCAGGGCTAGATGTTGTTAGATAAAATATTCGTAAACGAATACCGGTATAACAAATACATGATTTACAACACATACCGAATATGCAACTTTCTGGATATCCAACTCAACATACCATATGTGCAGTTAACATACCGCATATACAA